TTAAAAATTATCATAATACCTTTTCCTCCTCTAGATATGATTTATTTACATTTACATGAACTATTAAAACATTTTGCATTTTCTTTATCTGAAATTTTTATGATTGGTCCTGTCTTTCCAAAAATTTCATATATGCTTCAAATTATTTCTCTAAAGATAAGTAATATTTTTACATTTTGCCATTTAGTTTTGAGAAATTAATTTCTGATTCATCTAGTATGAGAAAGTTTTATCTCAGTTTTCCATGGGATTATTTGAGTGCCATTTATTTATATTAAATACCGTTTTCTTTCCTCATTGCTCTGATGGCCACTGTATACATTCCTCACGTAGCTTCTCTTTGAACCTCTACCTCCTTTTCCTGCTTACCCAAATCCTGTTTATTTTTCAGAATTGACCTGATCTACTAGGCCTTCATACAATCTTTTTGAATACCTGATTTCCTTGCTTTACCTCTAGCTGAAGTATCTTCTTGTAATAAAGTACTCTATGCAGATATTTTTTATGGTATCATTTTTGCCTTGGACATTTTGATTGCTATGGTAAGGCTAGATGCTTCTAGAGAGTTTTTCTTTGGCAGAAAAATAAAAAAAGTTTTTATTCATTCCAATTGTAGTAACATTGATCCAAAAGGGGCTTTTGAGGAAAACCAGAGGGGTTAGGTCTTTTTAATTATTGCATCTCCTAGGGTACCTGTTCTGATTTCTCTGTTCTCTTACCCTGACTATATATATACACCAGTTCCACACAGTTTTAATTATTAATGAGCAGGGCTGGTCCTTCTCATTTGTTCTTCTGTTTAAAAGAAAAAAATTTAAAGACTTGCGTGTTTTCTTTTTCGCAAGTGGATATAGAATAACCTTTGTAAGGTCTTAAAACTCAGATACTGTACTTGTTGGAATTATACAATAATGCACTTTTGTAATACTGCCTTATCTGTAAACTTGATCAGTAGGCTCTTTAATTCAAGTGCTTCTTTCTCTTTTCTCAGAAGGCTTTTCAGAATGCTTTGTGTATGTCAAGGGGAACTTACACAAATTGAATTCAGTTAGATTTTATCATATACCCAAATGAAGAAGGACACAGTCTGGGTTGCATAACCAGTTAGATCTGTATACCATCATTTGAAGTACTGCAAAGCTGTAAATGTGGTTGACAGAATGTCTGAAGTCATGACCCCTAACATTTTATGTTTTACTGGAGGCAAAGAAATTTTAACACTTAATCAAAGAACCTCTAGGTTTGTGGATTTCAGATACCTGGATGATCTAATTCACATATTATCTAACAGTATTTATGACCTGACATTTGATTTCTAAGGGTCAAGACATGTGTCTTAGTATTTCTTGATTTATTAAGAATTAGGCAGGATAACCCTGGCCGGTGTGGCTCCATTGACTGCAATGTCATCCAGCAGACCAAAAGGTGGCTGTTTCGATTCCTGGTCAGGGCACATGCCTGGGTTGTGGGTTTGGTCCTTGGTTGGACGCTTACAAGAAGCAAATAGTTGATGTTTCTTTTTCACATGGATGTTTCTCTCCCTCTTTTTTTTTTTTCCCCCTTCTCTTCTCTGTAAAATAAAATAAAATATTAAAAAGAAGTAGGATAAATAGAATTTTCTTCTCTGGTTTTCTGCAAGTGGCACTGGTTTTCCCCTGTGGCTTATGCGAGTGTGAAGGTGGCCAGCCAAGCCACTTGTTTTGTTTATTCCTGGGTGGCTGCAGTCAGCCATAGGGAAGGATGTTTTTTTTTGGCAGAAAAATCAAAAAAGTGTTTATTCATTCCAATTGTAGTAACATTGATCCAAAAGGAGCTTTTGAGGAAAACCGGAGGGGTTAGGTTTGGAACATAAATAGCTCTGATCATCTCCTAACTAGTGGAGAAAAGTAAAAGATTAGGATTAATAATATATAAATTGGAGGCAATACAAAGTTCCAGGGCAGAAGTTGCAAACTGATGGTTCATTAACCAAGTATGGCCCTCAGACAGTTTCTTTTGGCTTCCTGAGTGTTTATAAAACTTATTTAACTTGTTGATAACATCTAAAAGTTACTTTACATGTATATCCAGCAGCATGGCATGTTAATAGCAGTGGCACCCTTTAGATTAAATATATACATTTGCCCTAGTTGGCACTTTTAACCTGATTCCAGCCGACCCCGTGTGCATTTGATGTTGCAACCCTGTCCTAGAGTCTCTTGAATACTGAAGTAATAGGTCTAGTGCTGCTAATGCAGCTGAACCTTCAACTTTGAATTAATAGACGATAGAAGAGTGTGAAGATTTTAGGTACTGAGAGTTTGAGTGGAATATGGGCTATGTAAGAAAGAGCAGTTGTAGAGGAATCCAGGGTTTTTACCTGAGCAGCTCGAAGGATAGAGGTTCATCCTTGAGGTGGGGGAGACTGCAGACAGGTCAGGTTTGAGGGGGAAGGGAGGGGAGTTCAGCTCTGGACATGTTAAGTTTGCGGTATCTAATACAAATCTTAGTAGAGATACTGAGCAGTGTGGCATTGGAGAGAAATGTCCAGACAGAATAAATCCATTTGACACACAGGTGACCTGTAAAACCATGAGATGAAATGAGATCGCAGGAGTGGAGGGCCCTGGCCGTGCCCGGGGCCGGCCAGTGTTCAGGGGTTTGAGGGAGGTTCAGCAGAGACGAGGGAGGAGCATCCAGTGAGATAGGGTGAAAAGGGTCTGAGTGTGGCATCCTGAAGGACAGGTGTCTTGACCTAGTTTCTCCCCAAAAGCAGAGCCTGAGACCAAGGACACTTAAGGCAGTTGGTTTATTTGGGGGCCTGCTAACAGGAAACAGAAGTTGGAGAATCAGGGCACTTGAAACTGGAAGGAAGGAAAGTCAGTCCAAGGGTGTGTAACTGGCCAACAAGGTCGCTTTTCTGAGCAGGTGAGACTTGACCCTGAGGAAGCTCTTTGAAAAGACATGGAGAATATGCGTCTGGGTAGGAAGAGGGGATATTTACCAACCAGATCCCACCCCACACTGCGCAGGCCTTGCCCGCAGTGTTCATTTGTGTCTCAGGATGTCTGGAGAGTTCCCGTAGGCCTCTTCCAGCAAAGCCTGTGAGCTGAAAGCAGCCCAGTAGTGCTGCGAAGGGGAGGTGCTCAGCAGAGGTGGAAATGTGGGGTGGGGCACAGGAGGTGTCCCATTCGGCCTGGCCCCCAGCACTCCCCTGGGAGCCGTGCCATTTAGTTCCGTCTCTTACAAAGCTTTCGAGGTGGCGGCTGGCCACGGTGTCGACGTTAGGCTGACAGCAGGAAGGGTGGTGTCATGGTTTTCCTTGTTTCAGTCTTCTGCCATGCTCCCTGGGTTTTCCTCACCTTCAGCCGGCGCTTCAGCAGCTCGAGGTGTTTTCTCAGGCAGAGTGACCCAGACCTTCCCCAGGAGATCACTGCCCATAGTTGCTTTATCCTTGTCAGGCTAGAGTTGCTGCAGCTGCTTGTTTATAGTTACCACCCAGCACGACAGCCCCAGTTGAACACTCTAGGTTCTTAATATACTCCCTCCTGTCACCATTGTTTAGCAGCAGCCGTGAGTCCTCATGGTTGTTGGGGTCATTTTACAGGGACCCCCACGCCCACCATATAGTAACTCCTTCCTTCGCATCCTGGTTCGAAATGATGTGTCCAAACTCATCAGGTGGTGGTGGTTGTTTCAGAGTTCTTTCTGTGTCTCCTGGCAAGAAACCTCTTCTCTCCTCCCTCAGAATCAGAATTTCTAATCCAGTGGAGCACAGGGTTGCCAGTCTTACGTCATCCGCTGGTTCCTGGAGCCATGTTCTTTTTTTTTTTTTTTTAATCCTCACCCAAGGATATATCCATTATTTTAGAGAAAGAAGAAGAAAGGGAAAGAGGGAAAGGAATTGGGGGGGGGCGGGGAGAAAGAGATCAAGAGAGAGAGAAACATGGATGCGAGAGAGATACATTGATTGGTTGCCTCCTGTATGTGTCCTGACTGAAGGTCGAACTTGCAACCTAGGTGTGTGCCCTGACCAGGGATTGAACCCTCAACCTTTCGATGTGCGGAATGGTGCTCCAACCAACTGAGTCACTCGGCCAGGGCTTGTTTTTTTTTTGTAATCTGCTAGAGCCATAGCACCACATTTCAGCCTTTGGAAGGCAGTGAAAATGTCATGTCATTTTAGGAAGGCAGTGCCCCATCCCCTCGAGATGTTACCAAGCACTTTTATACGTAGACGTTGTATGTTTGTTAAATCCAGGACTCTTGGATTATAGAATAAACAATTACGGAAGGAAATTTTCACGTAAAGATGACTTAGTTACATTCATCAAATGTTTCTTCTCAATTCTGTGAAGTAAGCTGGTTTGTTATAGTGGCTATAGTTGCTCTTAGTTCCAAAATTAGAATGAACTCATTCTGAAGATTTAATTTTACCTAGAATTTGAATTTTTAGGCTTTGAAATTGTAAAGCCAGTCCTAGAGGGGACTTTGTGGTTCATTTGAGTTTTGCCACATGTGCCTCTGGCAAATAATATGTTATTGTCATGGAATATAAGGATCTTAACTCCTGTAATAAGCCTGATTTTTTAAATAGTACATTGAAACTGAATGAATTTAAACTATGATAGAATATAGAAATATGCTTCTCTTGATAATATTAGGCCCTATTACAAGAATAAAAAAGAATTATTAATCTTTTTCCCTTGTTCTCTTTCATAAGCTGTAATGAGAACTGTATACTTTTCTTAGTACACTTACTGTTAGTCTTTGAGTGTCTTGAGGGTGACAACTAGGGTGTTTTATCACCTGTTTGTGTTTTCCAGGGTGTCACCTAATACCTTATTCTTAGTAGGTTCTCTGTAGATACTTGTTGAGTTAGTCCAAGGAGAGACATACATACACAGCATGTACATGTAATACGTGATCACACTCATGAACTTTATTGTTTTAATAAAATTAAAGTTGTTTAAAGTATAATAATGTTTTAGATTTTCTTCCTTTCTTCTTTCTTTGAACAGATAGAGGGACGAGAACAGAATCACCAGCACTGGCTGAAGGTAAATATGTCTTTGGGGGAAATGATTATTCAAATACAAATAAAAGTCATGATTTAAATTAAAAACTACCTTGGCTAAACCTGATTAAAGGAAAATGTTCTGTGCGTAATATTTGACTGCTAAAAATATCTTTAGGAAATAATACCCTATATTGTTTAGTTTGTGGCTTAGACTAGGAAGTAGTGGAGAAATGTAAATTAACTAGAACTTTTTTTTACAGCTTTCTTTTAATAGGAGAGGTATGTGTTTTGTTTTGTAAATTACCTCTTAAGTCATTTCCACTATCACCAGTATAGTTAATCAGAAAAGGTCTCAGCCATAATTTTAGTAGTTAAAAAATTTATTTATTTGGAAGCTACAAGGGAGGACAGTTTTACGTACATTCTTAAAAAGGATTCTACCAATATTGGTTTTAATAATTTTTAAAAAGTCTTAGATGTAAACAACACAACAACAATATAGTTACTGTTAAAGTGTCCTGAGTATTAAACATTTATAGTCCTGTTACTGTTTTCATTGTAACAAGTTAATGGGTATTTGAAAATGTCATTTTTCTGTAGATCCTTTCTGTTCTTCAAGTGACAATAATCAGCTTAAATCTCTTTTGGTGCTTTTCCTAGTGGTAAATAGAGATATTTACATATCAAAACTTGCCTGGCATTTTATTAGACCTGCTATGCCAGTTATCACGATGTCCTTTGGAATTGTGGTCACCTCACCTACTCTGTATGTCAGCGTGGGGGGTTGTCAGTTGTTTTTGGGGCCATGACCTCTGTAGTATTCTGAAGTCTGTGAGTCCCTTCTCAGAATAATGATTCTAATAATTACATTAGGAAGTAAAAGATAAGATTTAAAAGGGAACTAGATATTTTGAAAAAGTTAACAAATATTAACAACACAATAAACTTTGGTGATAATTCTGCTAAATACTTAACTATAATTTTAAAAAGTGATGAGTTTGCAGTAATTAATAAAATATGAAAATACCTCTGATTTCTATTGAAGACAAATTCATAGGTATTTATGTACTACTGTGGCTTGTTGCCTATACTCTTGATTGAAGGAATTGCTAAATTTCACATATAGGTCAGTGAAAAGTTTCCCATCCGGATTCACAGGTACTGAATTCTCTCTCTGGATCTCAGATTAAAATTGAACTCCTGTTAGTGAAAAATCAGCTTGGCCTGCCTTTCTTCATCATATTTGATAAGAGCAGGGGGTTTTTTTGTTTTTGTTTTTTTAATGTTCTGTGTAACTAATATTAAAGAAGTAGCACTACACATCTATACCTTATGAAATACCCTAATAGTGTAGGCTAGAAGTTTTTGAAATAGCTTTGAAAAAACTTCTGATTGATAGTTAATAATCACAAAACAAAATTCTGTGGAAAATGGTGTAGAAAATAAGTGTTAAGCTTTGGAGTTTGCCTGCCACGGAAGAACTCGGATTCTATTTCGAGGAACATGAACTACACATGTAAAAAAATAGTTCAGGAGGCCAAAAGTTTAACAAGAGAAATGTCATAATTAATTGTCACAGGAAGGATGCAGATAGTAAGTGCTCTGATGCTTGTGTTATGGAAACACACAAACAAGGTCAAGGCTTGTAAAATCATCGAGTGTTTTTCAGTTACTTCAGCAGGAATTGCACAACGGTCCTGTGCCAGCCTAAGTTAGGAAGAGGCCCAGAGTGGTGTCACTAGATTTGAATGTTTGTAGATGACTACAAATAAAGGACATGGCAGATCCATTGAAATTTGGTTGATAGCAAAAACAGCAGTAATGTTTGTTTTGAAGGGAACATGGTGGGATACCCGACTTTGGGGGTTTGGGGGTTTGGGGTCTAAATTATCGGTATGGTCTGACCCTGATGATGTATTTTAAAGGTGTTCTCAAAAGCTGCAATGCCAAGGTCATCAGCTAAAGACCCACTTAAAAAAAAACCCAGAAAAAAACAAAACCTAATTTGCTGCTTTTGCCTAAGTCACCAAGTTTCTCTAGTTCTCAGTCCCTTTTTAAAAAAAAATTAAAGAATCGAGCCACATGATTTCAAGTCATTTCACAACCCTATATATTCTAAGTTCAGATTTTCTATCCTTTCTCATTTCTGTCACTTCCTTTCTTGCAACTTTAGACATATGGTGAAAATATTCAAAGTAGTTAAATGAACTTTGGTTTAAATAAATATTGTCCTTATGTATGCTATGTAGAACTTTAAAAGCTGTAATTATTAGACAACATACTTAGTTCAGAAAACTTTGTGATATATACATTCTGCACTTGTCTTACTGAATGGTTTGAAAAATCCATTTAAAATTAATATGCTCCACTATAAGAAAACAATAGAATGCCTCCTATTTTTCGTTAATCATTTTTTTGGGTGGTGGTAGATTAGCTTTTACAATGGTATTTAGTGAAAGGTATCAGGCCTCGTCATTTGAAAAAAAGTTAAAGAGTATGCTTTTTAAAAATTTACTCAGGGAATCTGTCTCCACTGTCCAACTACTATTTTTTAAAATGATACAGTGAAAACACATTCAGTTATAATTACCACCTCCTCTGAAAGGTCAAAATGTAATGGCATCTGTTGGAGTCTTTTTAGCATTATATGAGATACAGATTTATGAGTGTGGAATTGTTCAAGTACAGGTCTTAAAAATTATATGATTACCAACAAGAGAACATTTATATTTTGCTCTTACATACTGTTCATGGTGAGCCTAAAGGAATTATATTTAAGAAAATGATTTTAATTGAAGTTCAGGAACAAGGGAAACATTGGCAGTGACTCCTAAAATTTCACTGTATAAATTCCTTTAGTGTCCAGGCTCAAACATGAAGACCTGACAAATGGTAGGGAAATATTTAAGCCCGCCCACCCTCGCTTGCTTGCTTGCTTCCTTCCTTCCTTCCTTCCTTCCTTCCTTCCTTCTATCCATTTAAATTTTTATTAAGTGATTTTAGAGAGAGAGAGAAACTTCAATTTGTTGTTCCACTTATGTATGCATTCATTGGTTGCTTCTTGTATGTGCCCTGACCAGAGACTGAACCCACAACCAACCCAGTGGTCCCCAGCCTTTTTGGCACCAGGGACCAGTTTTGTGGAAGATGGTTTTCCGTGGATGGAGCGGGGTTGGTGGGGGAGACGATGGAGCTCAGGTGGTAATGTGAGCCATGGGGAGTGGGATGCAGTTTCATCTGCCAGTCGTCTCCCAGGGTTTGGGGACCCTGCCCTCTGGGCAGGGCAGGACATTTCTTAGTGTACTGTCATCTTTTCCTAGTCGTCATATTATTTTTTCTCTTATAATTTTATTCCTACTTTAGACATTTTAATACTAGTATTAAATTAATTTCTTTCAGGAACAATTGAAATTTTTTGAAACTTTTTTTGGATGAATTATGTGTACTTTCATTTATGACTAGAAAGCAACATGGCAAAATGGTTAAGAACTGTTGAAACACAGATTTGCCTGAGTGAGAATTCCAGCTTCACTGTAAAGCAGGTTACTTAATCCTTCTGACCTTCAGGTTGCTCAGAAGTAAAATGAGGATTGTAATGCCAACCAACCATAAAATGGTTGAGGGTTTTACAAGGTAACACTATCTACCCTACTTAGCATAGTGCTATGCGCATGGTGAGATCTCAGGTGTTGACTGGACTTTCTTTTAGTACTTAACAGCATCCAAGGCCCTCTGCGAGTGCGCTGGATACAAAGGTGAAGTTGTAGTCATATTCAAAGAAAAATGGTTCTATTGCCCTTACCTCCTTTAGTCTATGTTTACGAAGGTCCTTTATGGTATTTCCTACATAACCCCTTCTAAACATTATCCTCTTTTGAAAGCTAAATCCTCATAATTACTAGACAGGAGATAATCTTGTTTGTAATTTTTTACATATGTGAGTATATGTATATGGTCCAGTAGATAACTTTCTTTTGACTTCAGTTTAATGTATAGTACGATATTTCAGATATTTAATGGGTTGTCAGGTGGCATAGGGATTGTTTTGTTTGATTCCAGGAGGCCAGTGAGAACTGGGACCATTGAGGAGAAATTAACAAGTCAGTGAATTTCAGCTTAATACAAGTTTTATGTGATTCTTGAGGGCGAGATTCATGTTGGATTAATCGTACATTATTTGATCATTGGCTGAAGTTTCTAAAAATTGACTAAAGTCTAAAATGTAAATCATATGAAAATAGAGTGCTTAATTGTCTTTCTGACTGCTGAAAGCAACATGAAAAATGCATTTCACAGGCTTGGAAAGCTTTTGAAACAAACAAACAAAAAAATAGAGTGACTTACTTTTTGGGTATAGTCATGCAGAATAAAGTGTACAGGCTAGATGGCTGCTTGGCGTGGATGTCGTAGAATAAATTCATACTAAGGTCAGAGGGTCAGGCTTCAGTCTTTCATTCTAGCATGTGTCTTAGTCAGTTTGGGCTGCTGTGACCAAGTACCATAAACTAGGTGGCTTACAAACAAGAGAAACTTACAATCCTAGAGGCTGGAACTTCCAAGGTCAGGGTGCTGGCATGCTGGGCTTCCCGTGAGGGCCCACCGCCACCTTGCTGTATCCTCACATTGTAGAGATTGCAAGGGAGTGCTCGGGGGTTTCTTTGATAAGGGCACTGATCCCATTCCTGCAGGCTCCACCCTCATGACTTAATTACCTCTCAAAGGCCCTATTTGGGTGTTATGATTTCAACATAGGAATTTTCAGGGGACACAAACATTCATAGCAGCATGGATAGACCCTTCCTGGTATAAGATTTTCTTACTCATTGATAATTGGATATAAAGTCATTCTGCTTGATGTCTTCCACTCCTCATAATGACTGTTTCCTATTAATGTTAAGAAGGGACCCCCAACTCATCAAAAAAAGTAAGGGAGATCTTACTTGAGAGAATACTTTATCTTTTAACTCTAATTATGAAGGAAAGGAGTTAAATAAAAGACTTACTAGAATGCTTGGCTATGTGCAATAAATATAATAAATTAGGAGATTAATATTGCCCCTTAAATGAAGTAAACAATAAGAAAATAGTATTATCTCAAACTGTTACAACATCTTTGACTTTGATTCAGAGATTACTAGTTCAAGTACTCTTCCGTGCCTCTAGCCACTAAAAATTAAATCACCAATGCAAATTACTGCCTCAGCTGCAAATTTTAACTCAAATTATGAAGGAAAGGAGAAGGAAGAGTTTTAGAAACCTCTTGACTTTTTCAGTCATAGTAGGATAATGAGGACTGATACTTATTCCTTTATGACAAATCCTGGCAGTTTTCCTTGAGTATGTCATACAAATTGAAAAGCACAACAGAGTACTGTGCTGTGTATGAATACATACCTTTGTAATAAAAAACTAAACATGTTTGAAAAGGAAGCATACTTTAAGTTTTGATGGCATACTTTAACCTAGGAGGTGGTGGGAGAGGAGGGGAGGAAAGTTGGTGGGGGAGGCTGGGATGGTTAACTGCACAAAGATGTAGGGGGGCATCTGAAGCAAATATGGCAATATGTCATTGCTTTAATTGGGGTGGTAGAAGAAGATTTTTTATGTTTGGATTGGTTCCTAATTTAAAGAAAAAAGGAAAGATTCAGACCCCTCGGGAAGCTGGTTAATAAGTGTTCCCATTTCTGTGTTTTTAGTGTTGTTTGCATGTGTCTGTTTGAAAGAAGGCCACCCTATCTTGCATGATGTCTTCCACTTTCTGTGGATTTTTCAATGCCAGTTACTCTGTATCTGTTAGAGAGGCTGGCAGACAGGAGCTCGGTAAAGGTGGCTTGACTTAAAACAGCAACCATTGGGCGCTGTAATCACTAGAGACAGAGGTATTCAAAGTTTTACATAATGGTAAGATTTTTGTTTATTAGATCATCCATGCATTGTTATAGGAGTATTAGAAAGAGTTCAAGTACCTGAATTTCAACCCAGTTGTTTTTATGGGCATCTATCTCTGAGTGAGTCACATGTATTCTTTGAGCAACAATCACTTCACATTTTAAAAACTTAGAAAATTCTTGATACATACAAAAGAATGTATATACCTTTATTTCTAAATGTAAAAACCTAAAAAAAAAAAAAAAAAAAGACTCCTATGAATCCACCAGTAGTTGAAGAGCTAGAATATTACCCAGAACTTTGAAGTTGTTCAGTCCTATGGCCCTCTCTCCCCAGAAATAACCACTCTCTTAAATTTTGTGTTTATCATTCCCTTGCATTTCAATATATATAGTTTGCCAAATATGTGTACATATAATTTTTTCATGGATTTCAAAATAGTGGTAAATTTTAAGCAAGTGAATTCAGAATACTGTTTTCTATTTAATGATCATATTTTCTCAAGAGAAACCTTCTAATAAATTCTTATAAATTAGGTAATTTTGAGTGTTTTTTTCATATTTTCATCATACATCATTCTGTGTACTCCTAAATTACTTCCCTTGGAACTTTGTACTAGGCCTTTGCTTCCATGCTCTAAATTTGCAGCTGAGGCAGTAATTTGCATTGGTGATTTAATTTTTAGTGGCTAGAGGCACGGAAGAGTACTTGAACTAGTAATCTCTGAATCAAAGTCAAAGATGTTGTAACAGTTTGAGATAATACTATTTTCTTATTGTTTACTTCATTTAAGGGGCAATATTAATCTCCTAATTTATTATATTTATTGCACATAGCCAAGCATTCTAGTAAGTCTTTTATTTAAAATAGCTTAAATAAGATTTTTTCATTTTAAAATACTAAATCTAAGTGTATCCACTAGATGTCAGCATTAGTAAAGGTGCACGTAACATGTAAAATTGTCAGAGGCAGTGTGAGAGATTCATTCTAACAAGTAAACCGACTTGTGTGAAGTCACATATTTTGTGATAAAGAGTGAAAACTAGAAATCAAGTCTCCCAATTTCCATTCCATCATTCGTTTATGTCACATTTCTTTAAGGCAAGCAGCTTAACGCCATATAATTACTAGACTAATAAAATTAGGTTGATCTTGACATGGGCTAGGGAGTCACGGGAGATCTTAGCACTACTGTGCTGGTACTGTAGCTGGGCGCCCTGTGGTAACTGAGTCTTGCTTCTGTTCCTTTACGTTTTGCCGAAGGGGAAGCAAAGATTCACTTTATCAATAGCTCCACCAGTACACATGACGGTAGTAAGGCTAAAGATTAAGCTGTTCTCTAGAACGTCCTCTGCATCAGCCAGATTTCAACCAGGAAAGCAGAAACCTTGCCAGGGTTTTTAAAATAGGGGATTTAACATGAATTTACTTACACAAGCATAGGAAGCCCAGAGGCCAGGAGGTGAGGCTGAAAGCTCCCGCCCTCTCTTCGTGCCTTGGTCTTTCTGGTAAGGAGCCTCTATCTTGCAGCCGGTTAGGGGCCTGCCAAGAGTCACCTCATTAAAACAAAAGGGGCTCCTGTCACCCAGGAAATTCCAGGGGATTAGGAGCTCTGTGTTAGGAACTGGGGAAAAAGACCAAATACATATCGCTTAGCATAATATCCACCATGCAGGATATAAAACCATGGATCATAGAAATGTCCTCTGCATACCTGTATGACCCTATACTGACCAGGGTCACCCCAGTAAACTGAATTTATAAAGAAAAATAAATAAAATACATTGCAAAAAGACCGAGTATATATTCCGTCTCCTCTTTTTAATCATTTGAGGTACCTTAGATACTCATGATAACCATAGGAAGCAAACATCACTTCCGAAGTTGGGGGAACGAGAGGAAGGAGGAGGGTTAGGCAGGTGTCAGGAGCGTGAAGCAGAGCCCCGGCAGTCCGGAAGCTCAGGCCTCCGAGGGGCCGGGCACCACGCTGCTGCCCCCAGTTCCCGGGCCGCGGGCACCTGGAGCCATGCCTGCCTGGCTGACAGGATTTGAGACGCAGAGAGGGCCCTTCTTCCTTCTCACCTTCCGGTCTACTGTTAGTCCCGCCCATTGCTGGAACCCAGTGAGAAGTCTGCTGACAAAGGCTAGGAGATAGACTTTGCAGTTCTTGGTCCCAGCATCTCAAAGCGGAAGGATAGGCTTGGCCGGGGAGATGGGGGTAGAGTTCACCTCTGACTGCGTAGCATTTATTTACCCATGTTGCTTTAAATGCAGTAGTATTTTCATGCTTCTTCTCAGAGTTTTAGTTCTTGCGTAGCTCATGCTCAAATTGTCTAGGGCTGTAGGTTGGAGGAAAAAGCCCTATGAATATAGAGTCCTGGAGGGGATGTTAAGTCTCCTTATTTTATGAAGTTCCATGGAACCAGGATCAGGGAGAGAGTTGAAGTCCTGGGTGCTCAGGCTCTACTTAGGCATGTTTACCACATGAAGATCAGAAAACAGGAAGAGCAAGAGGAAGAAGGGAAACCTTGATTATGCCACGTAATGAACAAATAGTTGTTGCCTATTGTTATTGTGCTAGAACAAAAGATACTGTTCAGCAACTCCTCTAAACAGTATGCTGTTGGGAGGAAGAGGGGGAAGAAAGAAGTAAAGTAGGTGTGGGGAGGAGGTTAGGGGTGATGTGCGTTTGCAGTGCCACCAGGAGAGCAACACTAGCGTAATGTCAGGCGGCTATTGCAGATGCTTGAGTCAGTTATTTCTGTCCATCATTCAACACTCACTTGGTGGTGGTTTTCAACGTCTTACGTAACATTCATTACCATCAGCCGCCATGTTCCTAACGTGAGTTGTAGCCATATCAGAGACTTGGAAGGAATTATGATTATGCCTCTTCTTTAAATTATTTTGTACCCATCTGACCCTTCAAATAGAAGAGGTGCCACTGGATCCCTCTTCTATTTGTATATACCTTTACACGCATTTAGTTATTAAGGTAATTCAGTAGGTATATATTGAATATTTATTCTGTACAATGTTGAAGATTTACTTTGTGTGCTTGTATCAGAGGTGCCCCAAATACATATTTGACCAATTCAGTCAATCCTTAACTAAAGTCAAAGCTGGAAATCATAGAATAAACTTTTTAGATACATTAAAAAACCTGAAAATTTAATGATTACAATGTTTTTAATTTTAATTGTCATATTTGAAAGTTTGAAATTGAACATTTTTGGTTCTTACACTCTAGACAGCTGCTAGGTTACCCCTGGAGTCACTCTGCTGTTCATTTGCACTATTAAATCAACAAGTGCTTTCAAATGGTGAGGTTGCGGTTTCATAGAAGTAGTTCTGCAAAGAGACTTTGTGCAATGTTTGAGGAAAGTGGGACCTGAATGTTTTCGGAAGCAGGTGTGCTA